CTGTCTGTCCCCCCCCACCCCCATACCCTCTCAAACCCTTTTTCTCTCTGTGTGGCAAACATTTAAAGGAAAAAAAAAGCAGGAAAAATCCCAGTCAAACAGTGTGGCTTAAACATTTCTTTGTTTCTTGGTGTTGTTATGGCGAGTTTTTTGGTAATGATGATCCAATCATTTTGGGAAAATTCTTGCACTGTATCAGAGTTCTTTGATCTGGCGCGTGCGTGTGTTTGTCTGCCCGCCGCGAGTGCTCTGTCTCTCTCTCTCTCTCTCTCTCTCTCTCTCTCTCTCTCTCTCCCCCCTCCTTCCTTTCTCTCTTCTTTCCTCCCTGCCCCCTTTCTTTCTCTCTCTCTCTGTTCCAAGTGTGTGTGTGCAATGTTCTGTTCATCTGAGGAGTCCAAACTTTATCTCGAGTGAGTTTAAAAAAACAAAATGAAATGAAAAAGAAAAAGAAAAAAAAAACAACCGACCACCTTTTTCCCTCTTCTTCCTTTTTCAATGTGATGGAATGAACAAAAGAAAATGGCCAACAAACAAACGAGTGAGAATTAAACCCCAGTTTGTTTTCAAAGAATAAAGCAAAAATGTGCCAATTAGCGTAACGCGTGGCTCCAGGCTCCTTTTTCAAACTGAATAATAATAATAATTAATAATGATAATAATAAATGAAAATAATGATCATGATACCACTGTGTCGCATTTCTATGCTGTCTTAATTTATATGGAGCACGTGCAGGGGCCCCTGTTTTAGTGGGCCTTCTGTAAGGTGGCACCTTTTCTTTTCCAACTAACAATATATAACAAGAAATTGGAGATGGACTTCTTCATCTGGAACTGTTGAGGGGATTGTAGCAGGGTCATAGTGTTGTGGTAGCCATGCTGGTCCACAGAGTATGGAAGAAGGAAGATTTGTTTGGTGATGCCTTTTATTGGATCAACTCTATGGTTGGGGGAGATGTTAGACAAGCTTTTGGGCACAAAATGCCCTTCCTCAGGTCTGGGAATCAAGCAGATACAGACTAAGCTAAATACCAGGTAGAACAATGCCTTTATCTTAATTCCAATGTATAAATGAAAATAGATTAGCAGGTTGTCATTTGGTTGGATTTTGGTTTGGGCACCGGACTTAGCACTCTGATGCCTGCAGAAAACCAATCCATTATGAGAACCTGAGGGCCCGTCTCAGAGAGCTGCTTAATATCTCAGGGTAAGAAGCTGGAATAGCTCAGTGAGATCTAACCTGTACCCTTCTTGACTCCAAATTGCAGGCCTCAGAGGAGATAGCATTCTGAAAACATGGGCCTGATTACAAATTACAAACATGTTCCCTGAGTAAGTAAGGTGTTCTGGTTTTGACACCAAGTATTTCAGTCAGGGCCCATATAATGGGCAGGTGGGACACCCTCGCACCAGCTACTGCCTCCTGCTACTTCTCCTGCAGCCCCAAGATGTGAGTGGGAAGCACTTACAGTAACTGCTCTCTCTCCCATGCCCTGAGGATGCTGCTGCTTCTTTGCAATCTGCAGCTGGCTGTCAGCTGTGCTGTGAGGAGGGAGGTGAGGACAACTCTCTTTGTTTCATAGCCTGGTTAACAGAGCACCAGAGGGAACAGGATTGGAGTGCCACTGGCTTTTCCTAAGAGTATGGAAATAGTTATAGTAGAGTCCTGGCTGTACAAGGCCCCATGGCTTTTGGAAACAATATACTTGGCTGAAGGAGCTGGACAAATAGGTTAGCTAAACAGAACAGACCTCCCCCCCACCTGACCAAGATTTGCATGAGTGAAATAAAAGTAGTGTTCTTGAGAACCATGGAGCTCTATATTTTTTTCTTCACATAAGGGATTCTTTGACATTATGTATATAAATACATTATTCACCCAGCTCTAATCAGGGCCTAGGGTTTAGTCTCATCTATGAGAGGGCAGTTCCAGGAGCTGAGTGGCCTCTAGCATCCAGCTACAGAGACTGACTCAGCACTGATCCAGAGGGGAGAGCATCAAATGTTCAGCCACTGGTGCCACTTCCATCAGTGGCCTAGTTTTTCCTGGAGATTACCATTAGCACATTCACTCAAACCAGCCTTTCTCAATGGATGAGCTCAGACAGGCTCCCAGCCCCCAGGCAGCATGACTGTCAGGGTCTGCTGTTCTCTTTATTAGCTGTGAGACTGAATGGTTTAACTGCATTACCGGAAAGTCTTTTCTTAAAGCCCTTCTGTAACTGTTCTCTTAAGACTATAATAAATCCTCAGAATGGTGCATTTTCCATGCTCTGATTTTTGTCACGTGCTCTCCCCCAGCTCTTGTGGTGGCTTCTAGTAATAATGAAAAAAATAACTGTGGTGCCCTGTTGTGCTATTGTATGATATTATTCTTGACAGGAGATGGACTAACTGTCCTCACAGTTGTAACATGGAATGAGAGGCTACATCTGAGTTTGGATACTCTGCTACCCACCATGCAATTCCCTCTGGCTGACTGATGGTAAGCTAGAAGCTATGCCTTCAGAAGAATGGCTGGCCTTCCCACCTCCTCTTCATTTTTCTTCTCCTTCTGTCAAACAGCAGGAGCAAGAAGATGCATGATGTCTCTTCAGAGACATCAATCTGGACGTCAGATGGTTTACTGGAAATGCCATCAGAATTCAGCTGGTTTCATTTAATGTTGCATTTGAATCTATTTCTTGCATTGCCATTTACAGTGCTTAGAGAGAGAGAGAAAAGAAGAAGGGGAAAAGAAAGAAAAAGGAAGTGTGTGTGTTGCAGGGGGGAACAGAAAAGAGAGTGACTGAACAGAAAACTCCACCAGATTTAAAAAACAGGGATTAGATGAGAGAAAGAAAGTTGAAAAGGGTTTTAGAGACAATAGATAGATAGCACAGAGGGTTTAGACAGACAGATTGAGCTACAGAAAGAAAGATTAGTTAGGAGGAGAGAGAGAGAGAAAGAGATAGGGAGAAATTAAATACTATGGAGCAATAGATGACTGATAGATAAATAGGTTAGGTAGGGATAGATAAAATAGGTAGAAAGCTAGCTAAAATGGATTAGACAGAGAGACTAGATAGCTAGAAAGATGAAGTGACTGACAGATAGGTGTTGTGTCATATCTCACAATAAACAATATATACTCTTACTCCCCCATGTCATGATGGATAGCAAACCCTGAGACAACTTCCAACCTGGACTTCATTTGGCAAATTTAGCACAGATGCAAAAGATGGCTTGGATTATCTGTCAGACCTCACATACTCACATATCTCTGGTGTGGAAGGAGAAGATGGGTAGGGGTGTTCTGAGGAGAGTTGCTGTCATAGGGACACGGACTGGCCCCTTTTAGAGATGCAGATTGCATTTGCAATACACAAAAATGTCTCATCTTCCCCAAACAGTGACCACTTGAGCAAGTCCTATCTGGTACAGATTCAGCAGAGTTGCTATTGACTTTAGAATACATGGGAAAGGCATTATAAGGATATTTAAAGCATTTGTGTAGTCCCATGATGATACCTATTAGGGTCACCTTCTTTGGGATTGACTTGAATGTTGCAGAAAGTGTCAGAGAGTGGTGTTGGGTTTCCTGTCCCTTCTGCCTTGGGATACCAGCCTTACAATCTCTCCTCTCACCATTTGATGAGGGTGGTGCATGTGATGCTCATTCCTTCCTAGGTGGAAGCTTTCCTCTCTCCTCAACAAGTGGAGAAATATTTTCTCTCTTCCTGGAAAGCCCCAGTTCTTGGGTTTGGATGTCATCTCCTTTTCTATTGCCAGTCAAGTCATCAATTGTATCTTAACACCATGGTGTGTTGCTTTTAAAACAAAGGTATTTCGTAAGTGGGGGGTTGTTGGTCATTTTCATGGCGAAGTCTCAATGGTTAGTATTGTTCCTCTTTTCTAAACAGGGTTCCCACCATAACCTGTGACCTGTAACCAAGTGCACAACCATTGTCTACTTTACAGTGTCTTAATTCTGCCACAGAGTTGAGGCCCAGAGAAAGATCTAAAATAGATGTGCCCATGATGGGCTGGGATGCAACAGGGAGTTGTCTCAGGGAGCACTGTAGAAAGAAGTGGAAAGGGTTAATATTTCTAATGTCTGCTTCGCTAGCCAGAATAAAAAAAGGGTGAAAGGGCAACATGGACAAGGTGTTGAATGAGGTAAGATATTGACTGGCAGTAGAACGGGAAGATGCTGAGAGAACAAGGTGCTCAGGAGGTAGCTGGACAGCTGGAGCAGGAAGTCTAGGGAGTGGAGTGTGTTGAACAAGATGTGTGGAAAAGGTGGTGTCAGTAGGAATGGGACAGGTGTTGTCAGTGGCAGCTGATGGGTTATGAACACTCTTGATTCAAGTGGACTCTCTGACTTCCCCATGACAAAGGCTCCTGGCATAACCAAGGCACTAGAAGTGCATGCCTTAAAGATACATAGGTTTGATCCTCACTCCTGACAAGTTACTCAGGGGGGGCAACACTGTCTGTAGTACATCACCTCTCTCTTTCCAGAATGTGACTGTAGCCCAGTGACTCGGGTGTACTGGGTTCTGGTCCCTGTCCCAAGACTGCTTATGGCAGTTGGAATAGACAACCCTCTTCATACCCTCCCAACCCAACAATGCTTCTTCCCTGTCTGGCTAAATTGGTTCTGGCCCACCCAGATGTAGTCACAACTGTTCCTCTGTGTGTGGTGGGGAAGGAAATGTCAAAAGGGTTCTCACAGGGAAGATGGACCATTATATCCACTGCTGTGTGAATGCTGTGGCTTTTGCACACCCCTATCCATTATTATGGCATCACTTATCCCAGCTCTGGCACAGGGGTCACCTACAAAGCCCCTTCACCTTTCATATAATCAAAATACCCAGCTTGAAAAAAAACCTATAAATTGCATGGATTCTGTCAGAGTTGAAGCCTACATTTAAGACATAGGTCTTGTATTGAAAGGTAA